GGAATCACCCTGTGACCCTTCAGTCCACGGGGCCGATGCTCCAACCACTGAGCCAAACCGGCCAGGGCACTGTCATGATTTTTAGGAAGCAGCTGGTACTGAGGCCACAGCACAGGTTTGGGGTGAGGAATGCAGCCTCCAGGAGAGGAATGCTCGCTGCGGAGGCCCCTCCCTGCTCCAGCTGGCACTGCGGCCTCCACTGTGTGCGGAGTGACAGCGTTAGGACCGTTTTCTGTGGTTGGGGGTCTGGGGGAGCACTCGGCCTTGGCTGGACCCAATGGGTGTCGTGCACGGGGCTGAAGGAGCCAGACCGGGCACCTGAGGTCGGTGGAGGAAGCCGGGGCCCAAGGAAACCTCTGGCCTCTCTCCATCTTCCCGCCTGGTCAGCTTCCCTCTCCCCCACCCCCTCAAGGCTTTGCGCCCTCCACTCCCAGCCTGGCTCGATTCTCCAAGTTCCCTGGCTGGGGAGCAGGAAGGAGTAGGGAGTTTCTGGAATGTCTCCGCAGAGCTCCAGGGGGAGGCCTGGCAACTGGAAATTGTCAGCAGTCTCCTTGGCGACTTGCAGCCAAATAGTTCTGGGAACGGAGGCGGGAGGGGAGCTCTGTGCAGGGCGGCCAAGAGGAGCAGCCCCTGGGCCCCCAGTTCCTTATCACCTGGGTCAGTCTGGGCCGATCAGGAGACAGAAACCACTCCCGTGATTTGAAAAGAAAGAATTTAATCTAAAGAATTGACAACTAGGTACGAAGTTGTTAATTAAGTGACCGAAGGGGAGCCGCAGCTGCAGGAGCAGCGCCCCTCCCGGGGCTGGGGACAGAGGGAGAGGGTGGACTGACTCAACCTCGTACAGGACATTCCCAGGAGGGACCCGGAGCCTAGAACCCAGGCCTCCGAGGTGAAGCTCTGAGCAAGAAGGCGGGCAGCTCCTGCATTGAGCGGAATTGAGTGGCTTGTTCCCAGGGTCCCTGCCAGCTAGTGCTGGGGTCTCTGGGGCAGGGGTGTGGGGTGGGTGGTGATGATGAAGCTGCTGCAATTGTTGGAAAGAGTGCAAACTGGATTTGGACGGGCCTGCTGCTGTGGGGTGATGCTCGCTTGCAGGGAACACAAGGGACAAGGACGAAAGTAGGAAAGAGCGTGTCCCCCTCCCTCCTGCCGCAGCCTCCCTCTAGGGACCCCTATCGGGAGAATCTAATAAAAAACAGATGGCAACGCAGAAACGGGGGCCACTCCATCACAAAGCCGCGCAGGGAGGACAGGCCTGGAGCTGAGAAGCAAGAACCTTCAAGGGTTTGTCACTGTCTTCCAGCCCAGCTCTAGTGGAAAGAGCAATGGCAGGCGCATAGTAGGTGCTCGTCTAATATCATCGTCTGGCCTTGGCCTTGGTTGGTTCCTGAAAGGGCATGTGAGCAGGCCTTCTGGAACTTTCTCTGGCTTTTCTTGCAGAGTCACTGACGTTCCCAAGCTCTGAGAGCAGGAAGGCTTTCGTATCTCAGTCATAATGAAAACAGCAGGGAAGAAATATGTAGGTAAGCCCTGGCCGGTGTGGGTCAGTGGTTGAGCATTGACCTGTGAACCAAGAGGTCACCGGTTCAATTCCTGGTCAGGGCACATTCTTGGGTTTCGGGTTCCATCCCAAATAGGGGGCATGCAGGAGGCAGCTGATCAATGTTTCTCTCTCATTGATGTTTCTCTCCCTCTCTCTTTCTCTCTTTCTCTCTCTCTCATCAATAAAAAAACATTTAAAAAAGAGAAATATGTAGGTAAGAGTGGCCTTAGGAAAACTATACATCACTGTGATCGAGTCATATATTAAGGCTAAAGGACTAGATAAAGAAATCTATGGGACAGAATTGGAACCAAGCCCAGGAATACATCCCAGGACACCGGATTGTAGTACAGCATACAATAAAAGCGGTATTGCAAGCCACTGGGGAACAGGATGGTTTATTTAACAACCTGTGTAGGCACGGCTGGCTATCTGTCTGCAAAACGAAGGTGAAGCTCTCCGCCTCACAAGGGATGAAAACTAAATTTCAAAGAGATGAAAGATGGAAATGCCTTTACATTTAAATATTTAAAACAATTTAAATATTGTTTTCATACTTAAACAACTTCCCAAGGAAATATTTAAAGCAATTTTAAACAATATGTAAAACAATTTAAATATTTAAAATAATTTAATTTAAAAAAATTAGGAGAACATTTATACAACCTAGGTTTGAGGAGAGTTTGCTAAACAAAACAGAAAATCCAGAAGCTCTGGAGGAAAGATAGACAGAACATGTTTAAATTTTAAAAGGGTGAAAGATGACATACACAGTCAAAAGACAAATTGTAGATTGCAGAAAATGTTCCGACGCATAGCACTGATAAAGAGTTAATAGCCCGGCCAGTATGGCTCAGTGGTGGGGCATCAGCCCATGAACCAGGAGGTCACAATTCGATTTCCAGTCGGGGAACATGCCCGGATTTGGGGCTCAATCCCCAGTAAGGGGAGTGCAGGAGTAGCCAATCAATGATGTTTCTATCTCATCGATGTTTCTCTCCTATCCCTTGCCCTTCCTCTCTCTAAAATCAATTAAAAATATTTTTTTAAAAAAGAGTTAACATCTATCATCCATGAAGAGCTGCTCCACACAATCAGCAAAATTACTTAGTAGAAAAGGGACAAAACCTCTGAACAGGTGACTCATGGGAGAGAAAATCCAAATGGCCAATATATTGACAGAAAGATGTTCAACCTCACTCATTGTCAAGGAAATGCAGGTTTTTAAAAGTGCGACACCACTTTTCATTGGTCAGAGTAGCAGAACTTACAGGGAGTAATGAAACTAGGGCTGGTGAAGATGCGGGAGGAAGAGCACCTTTTAACCTCGCTGCTGCATCTATGAATTATCGCAGGCTTCCGACAAAGGGATCTGGTAACATGAAAACTAACAACATGCATCGCATTGGCCCAGCTATGTTATTCGTAGCAATTTATCCTACAGGGGAGGAAGGCAGCACACTCCGGTATGAAAAAATATGCCAAAAAAAATGTCATGGCATGTTTGTGGTGGCAAAAATACCAGTAATGGTTGCGTGATACACATATATCCATATACTGTAATGCTATGCCAGTATAAGAAAGGATCCATTAAAGACAAAGGCTATCTTGGTTCCACTTAGGATACCTCTGAAGTAGTCAAACTCATAGAAACAGAAAGAATACTGGTTGCTGGGGGCCGGGGCGGAGGGAAGGTGGGAGCTGTTGAAATGGGTACAGCCTTGCGGCTTTGCAAGATGAAGAGTGCTCTGGGAGTACAGCTAACACCCCTGACCTGAACTCTTTAAAATGGGTGAGATGGTAAATTTTACTTCCTGTATCTTTCACCACAATATAAAAAAAATGAATAAATTAGGGGGGTTGTCACAATGTTAAGTGAGAAAGCAACTCACAGAGAAGTCTGTGTGAAACAGTGACAACACATGTGAATGGTGCCTGTTGGTGACCCCGACCCCCTGCGCTGTGACCTGAGTCCACTACTCCAGAGCACCCCACCCCCACCCCTCAAACCCCCAAGCCCCAAGCCCGGCGTTTCAGGCAGGAGCCAGCCCTGAGCTGAGCTCTTTGGTTTGTCAGCCTTCGGGTGGCAAAGCGCCTCAGATCCTGCGCTGGTGCCCCCATCGCAACCGCCTCCACCAAACACCACATCCCCACGGGCTCTGCGCTGGCAGCCCAGGCCACAGCTGCTTCCGATCTCTGCACAGACCTGATGGAAATGAGAAGCCGGCGGGCCGTTCCTCAGGCCCAGCTCCTCCTGAGGAGTCTGCGCGGCCTGGCCTGTCAGCAGGGCCTGCGTGAGCAGCAATCAAAGCAGAGCTTGCTCTGGGCTGGGAAGCGAGAGGGACAGGGGCCTGGGGGCTGAGGGGCCCAGGGGAAGTCCCTCGCCGGCCCTGGGGCAGATGGGGATGTTCTCGAGCTGCTGCGGGGAGAAGGGCAGGGCAGGGCCGAGTCAATTCTTCAAGGGCCGCTGGTCTGCGGTCTTCTCAGGCCATATCTTCTCTCTCCCATCTCCACGCCTCTCCCAAAAGGCCCATCCTCCAGTGGGGCGCCTCCCTACCCCCCAGCTCCAAACTCGGCCGCAGTTTCTCTTTCCTTTCACCTCTCAGCTGTACCAGGAACCCCCTCTGGACACCAGAAAAAAAGGC